ATAGAATAGAATAGAATAGAATAGAATAGAATAGAATAGAATAGAATTCTTTATTGGACAAGTGTGATTGGACACACAAGGAGTTTGTCTTTGGTGCAAATGTTCTCAGTGTACATAAAAGAAAAGATACAGTCATCAAGAATCATCAGGTACAAACACTTAATTATAGTCATAGTGTACAAATAAGCAATCAGATCATACTAGGAAACAGTCAATATAAATTGTAAGGATACAAGCAACAAAGTTATAGTCATACAGTCACAAGTAGGAGGGGATGGGTGATAAGAGGGTGATGAGAAGATTAATAGTAATAGTAGTGCAGACTTAGTAAACAGTTGAACTGTGGAGGGAATGGCATGTTTAGCAGAGTGATGGCGTTCGGAGAAAAAATGTCCTTGTGTCTAGTGATTCTGGTGTGCAGTGCTCTATAGCGTAGTTTTAAGGGTAGGAGTTGAAACAGTTTATGTCCAGGATGTGAGGGGTCTGTAAATATTTTCACAGTCCTTTTTTGGACTCGTGCAATATATACAGGTCCTCGATTGAAGGCAGGTTGGTAGTAATTGTTTTTTCTGAAGTCCTAATGACTCTCTGAAGTCTGTATCTGTCCTGTTGGGTTGGAGAGCCAAACCAGACAAACATAGAGATGCAGATGACAGACTCAATAATTCCTCCGTAGAAACTGGTTCAGCAGCTCCTTGGACAGTTTGAGCTTTCTGAGTTGGCGCAGAATAGTCTTAAATAGTCTGAATAGTCAAAAGTCTTAAAAATGTTAAGGGCAAAAGAAGAAGAAGAAAAAGAAGCTTCCCTGATATTTAATTAACTCTAGCCTCTTCACCAAAAATGAGATGGGATATGGGATGGAGTCTAGTTGACATTTTCAAGAAGTGCATTAGCTTTTGTCAGTCGGCTGCCTTCTCCTATATCACCGTTGTAAGAGCAGTTAAGGTGACATCTGGCAATTCTTGAATCAGCAGCTAGAAAGGCAATTTGGCTTCGTTAAATTGAAAAGTGGCAAGACTGGGTTCTTTTCTTTTTAAAGGGTGCTCTAAATTGTCTCCAGTGTCCCCGAAGGCTAAGGTCATCTACTGGAGCTGAGACTGATGAATACAAAACAAAAGGACCTCGTTAGATCCATTTAGCCAGTTCCTCTCTTTAGCAGAGGCACTGTAGTAATTCATTTAAATTGGGAGTATCTTTTCAATATCTGCAGGCCGTTGGTAGCTCCCACTCCATTTATATATTCTAGGAGGCTGATCTAATGAACTTGGCTGAAGAGTCTTTTAAAGGATTTTAAAAAAAATTAAGAAGAAGAAAACATTCTTAATCTCTTTTTAATGCAGTATTTTTCTCTGGCAGGCTGTAGGTGGTAACTGAATTTTATGGCGTAAATTTGGCTTAAGTTAAATGGAATTGAAGGGTTCTGGGTGAACTCTGAGCCTGATGGTATTATTGGAGATATTTCATTTTCAAACTAGGCAGCATCACAATCCTAACCCTAGCACTGATGATGTTGCCTAGTTTGGGTAATGAAATGTCTGCAAGAAAACCACCAAGCTCAGAGAGCACCAAGGACCTCAGACCTCCTTCTCCTCCTCTTCCTCTTCCTCCTCCTTCTCCCTTGGGTTGGCTTCAATATGCTCATCAATAGGCGGATTATGAGATGGAATGGAATAGAATTGGAATGGAATGGAATGGAATGGAATGGAATAGAATAGAATAGAATAGAATAGAATAGAATAGAATAGAATAGAATAGAATTCTTTTATTGGCCAAGTATAATTGGACACACAAGGAATTTGTCTTCGGTATATATGCTCTCAGTGTACATAAAGGAAAAAATTACATTGATGGGGGCACCATTGCAAATTCAGGTCCTTGGCAAAATGTAAGCAAGTCTTCCAAGGCAGGTCAAGTTGTTGTGTAGTTGAGCTCCTGGAGAGAAGACGTTTGATGGAAACAGGAATGAGATTTTGAATTCCACCCTATCTTCTCTGATACTGAGCACTTCAAGGTTTCTGACTTTTGAGGAAAGAACTAAAACCAAGGACCTATATTTGTGATTCTCAGCTGTATTACTTTGAGTTCTAACAAACATTTTCCATTGAGACAGAAACAACTTTTTCTGATCCCTCTCTCCCTCTGTTCCTCTCCCTCTCCTCACCCTCTCTCTCAATCTTTCTGTCTTTCTTTCTCTCTCTTTCTGTCTCTTTTCCTCCTCCTCCTCCTCCTCCTCCTCCTCCTCCTCCTCCTCCCCCTCCTCCTCCTCCTCCCCCCCCCCCCCCCCCCCCCCCCCCCCCCCCCCCCCCCCCCCCCCTCCTCCTCCCCCCCTCCTCCTCCTCTCCCGAAACCTCACACCCTTCTAATTCTGATGATGTGGATCATGAAACATTTACAGCAAAACAATAAAACTCAGAGAGCATCCAAGCCTCCCCCCATTTCAACCCTGAGCTGCAAATATTCTCCTTTATGAAAGGCTAAGCTGAAGTTTCTAGAAGTCATTGCTTGCAGAAATGAGCCTTGATTTATGATTTAGAAGCCAAGGAAGATTAGGAGCTCCTGCTCATTTCATTCCTCCCTGGCTCCCACTTTGCTTCCTATTTGCTCACGATTGTCAGTGTTCCAGCAATTGCCCAAATTAAATCATGAGCCTCAAGCCAAGCTTTAAAAGAATCCAAAATATTTATTAGGAGCAACGTGTCAGCATTGACCCCCGTGAAGCCAACTCTTCATGGCTGCGTGTCATCAATCACACTCTCCAATGAAGGATTTTCCTGGTCTGGTAGCCTAGGCTACAATCCTTGTAAGATAAGCATGGAATGTACTTCTGGTTTGAATTGCCATACTGCTCCTTCAGGTTTTTTCCCCCACCTGCTTATGGCAGCTCGAAAACAGGCATAGGAATGCTTTACAAGTTGACAATGGGCAGTCCAAAAGTCCTCTTTTATTTTGCTTTTGAGAGCATCTTTGTTTTTTCAGAAAACCCGTGGAATAACAGTGGGTGGGACAGAGAATCTAACACCACCCTCCCAATCAATTTATGGAAATTGAATTTATACTTAGACATGGAATTTACATAATTCTTAATCAGTGCTTCAGGTTCCTTGAAAATCTAATTTGGACGATCTCCAGTGGAAGAATGTTGGAGGAACCCTGAATTATTAAATTTCATTATCGAATATATGCATATTCAAAGTGTGGACTATCCTACAAGTCCCCAAAACAATTTGAGCCTCATAAATTGTTGGTCTCGTTTATTTCCACCGAAGGGAGTCTACAAATAGATTTTTTTTCCTTGAATGGGAATGGGAATAATGAACAGATAATGATGATTTCTTTAATCTGTTTTTTAAAATCAGTTGGCTGTTTTAAAAAGTGGCAATTTTGCCACTGAGTTGGCAGGAAGTATGAAACCCTGCTTAGTGTTGGTTAGGTTATTTATTTAAACAAATTCCAGTCTGAAAGTCTCTTCCAACTCTGTTATTGTGCCTAACGACAATTAACATTCATTCTTTGGAAGCCTTCCATTAATACTTTTTTGAAAAGGAAAAAGTGTGTGTGTTTTGTTCTGTGCATTTCATTACTCCATATATTTTGACTTTCACAGTTCTATCAGCTCTTGAACATAGGCAGTCCTTGACTTATAACAGTTCATTTAGTGATGGTCACAATATTGTAGTCTCACTTCAAGTAGGCCCAGTGGTGCGATTCAGATAACAGATGATCAGAGTTGGAAAGAACCTTGTAGGTCATCTAGTCCAACCCCTTGCCCAAGCAGGAGACCCCACACCATCTCTGACAGATGGCACTCCAATCTCTTCTTGCAAGTCTCAAGTGATGAAGCTCCCAGCACTTCTGAGGGCAACTTCTGTTCCGTGGGTTGACTGTTCTCACTGTCAGAAAGTTTCTCCTTATTTCCAGGTTGAATTGTTCAGTTTCCTTGTTCAGTTTCCATCCATTATTCCTTGTCTGACCTTCGGGTGCCTTGGAAAATAGCTTGACCCCCTCCTCCTCTCTGGGGTAGCCCCTCAAATATTGGAAGACTGCTACCATGTCTCCCCTGGTCCTTCTGTTCCCTAGACTAGCCAGGCCCAGTTCCTGCAACTGTTCATTGAATGTTTTAGCCTCCAGTCCCCCCATCATCCTGGTTGCTCTTCTCTGCCCTCTTTCTAGAGCCTCAACATCTTTTTTTTTTGGGTGGTGACCAAAACTCTAGTACTCTAAGTGTGGTCTTACTAAGGCTTTATTGACTGATATTAGTACCTCACTTGATCTTGATTGTATCCCTCTGTTAATACACCTTAGGATTGCATTGGCTTTTTTGGCTGCTGCTGCACACTGCTGGCTCACACTGCTGACTTACAACTGCATTTAGTGACTGTCACAATATTTTGGTCCCATTCAGGTAAGGCCAGTGGTGCAATTCAACTGGTGTAAAACCGGTTTGGTGAGTGTGTGCTTTGTGTGCACATTCAGCTTTTTCAAAAGCCCATTTTCAACTAAGTTACTTACCTTCCACTGCAGCCCCAGTGAATAAAACAGCTGAGGTGGTTTTGCCGTGAATCAGCTGTGCTAAAAAAAACAGGAAATAAAGCACAAGAAAGAGCAGGGGTGGATGGGTGGGGCCAAATGCTCACTGGAACTACCAGTTTGCCCCAACTGGTCCGAACTGGTAGAATCCCACCCCTGGGTAGGCCTTGATTTACAAC